CATGACGGCGCGCCGTGCCGGAGGACGATGTGCTGCACGAAGAACTTCGCCACTTCAGACGCCGTGCCGCGGGGTAATGCCTTTGTCTCAGCATACCGGGTCAAGTAATCGGTTGCCACTATAATCCATTTGTTACCAGTGGCCGACAAAGGGAAGGGTCCTAGAAGGTCCATTCCCACGAGGTCGAAAGGTGTCCGTGGTGGTGTAATAGGGTGGAGAAGGCCCGCAGGTTTCACGGGTGGCGTCTTGCGACGCTGGCACTCGCGGCAGCCTTGCACGTAGCGGTGTACACTGGTCGAAAGTCGTGGCCAATAGTACTGCTGGCGCACTCTGGCGAGAGTCCGCGAGTAGCCCAAGTGTCCCGACGTGGGCTCGTCATGGCACGCGAGGAGGATGTCATCCCGCATGTCGGCTGGTACAACGAGGAGGAAGGCTTTGTTGCTACCTCGAGCATTTTTCTTGTAAAGAATGCCCCTCCTTAGACAAAAGGATGACAATTCGCGAGCGATGCGCCGAGGAGTGTGAGAATTTCGGCCTTCTAAGGAATCAATAATAGGGCGCAATTCCTGATCGGCTCTCTGTCTAGACATAAAGTCAGAATCACTGAGGGCTCCGAGAAAACCATCAGCATATTCCGAGTCCATATCAGGATGTCCCACGGGTGCTCGAGAAAGTGCGTCGGCATCTTCGTGCTTGCGCCCAGACCTATACACAATCATGATGTCAAACTCTTGCAAGCGCAAACTCCACCGAGCGAGACGACCAGACGGGTCACGGAGATTGGCCAGCCAACACAGCGAATGGTGATCGGTCACCACCTTGAAGGGACGGCCGTAGAGGTAAGGTCGAAACTTTGCCGTTGCCCACACGACTGCGAGGCATTCCTTCTCTGAAGTGGAGTAGTTGGCCTCGGCTCGAGAGAGAGTACGACTGGCGTAAGCTATGACATGTTCTACGCCGTTGTGCCGTTGTACAAGGACAGCGCCAAGTCCGACGTTGCTTGCATCCGTGTGAACTTCGGTATCAGCGTCCTCATCAAAATGCGCAAGAACAGGTGCCTCTTGCATTCGCTGCCGTAACTCTGTGAAAGCTGCTTCTTGCTCTGTAGTCCAGGCAAACGGTACATCATCTCGGGTGAGTCGCGTGAGCGGTTCGGCTATCGTCGAGAAGTTGGTAATGAATCGGCGATAATAAGCACACAAGCCGAGGAAAACGCCGTACCGCTTTTTTGTCTGACGGCACAGGAAAGGTGGCGACTGCTGCAGTTTTTCTGGGTCAGGCCGCACTCCATCCGCACTCACAACATGTCCCAGAAATTTCAGCTCATCGTAGCCGAAATGGCACTTCTGGGGTTTTAGCGTGAGTTCGGCCGAACGAATAGCTTCCAGAACCATTCTTAGACGCTTCAGATGTTCTTCGAAACTCTCGGCAAAGATGACCACATCATCAAGGTATACAAGGCAGCTTTGCCACTTCAAGCCAGCGAGGACGGTATCCATCATTCGCTGGAATGTTGCGGGAGCCGAACAGAGGCCGAAAGGAAGAACTCTGAATTCATAAAGCCCATCGGGAGTTACAAACGCTGTCTTCTCTCTGTCTCGCTCATCGACCTCTATCTGCCAATAGCCGCTCTTCAAATCTATCGATGAAAAATACTTCGCGTGTCGTAGCCTGTCGAGAGAATCATCAACCCGTGGAAGCGGGTAGACGTCTTTTTTGGTGACGCTATTGAGTTTCCTGTAGTCAACACAGAATCGCAGCGTTCCGTCTTTCTTCTTACTAGAACGACTGGCGAGGACCACGGGCTGCTCGACGGTTGTATCACCCCGTCGTCAAGCATCTCCTTTACCTGCGTCTGTATAGTCTCGCGTTCTTTAGCCGAAACACGGTAAGGTTGCTGGCGGATTGGGCGAACATCATCGTCGGTAATAATTCGGTGCTTTATGAGGGGTGTTTGACCGACTCTAGATGAAGAGGCGAAGCAAGATTTAAATTCCTTCAGCAGGGTATGCAGTGCGGCCTTCTTCTCGTCCGAAAGCTTCGAACTGACGTCGATGTGGTCCAGAAACTTATCTCCATCAACCATTTCCTCGGATGCGAAGCACTCGGTGACATCCGCTACACGGTCTCCGAAGGCCACGGTGGTGCCGCGGAAAAGATGTCGGTGCTCGAAGTTAAAATTTGTGACGAGTATCTGCGACCGTCCGTCACGCACACGCAGAATGCTTCGCACTGCACACACACCTTGAAGCAGTAAAAGGGATACGTTGCTCTCGGCGACCACGTCACCGTCTTGGAGGTCTTCACAGGTGACTTCTACGAAAGCAGTCGCTCGGGGATGGCAACGTCACGCTTTCGTCGGCAACACGCAGCGCAGGTCTACGACAGCTATCAGCGCCTCGATCGGTTGCAAGTTGCGTCGAGAAAGTCACCATTCGCTCGCGGAGATTTATGATCGCGCCATTCTCTCGAAGGAAGTCCATTCCAAGGATGAGCTGACGAGAACAGTCGCGTAGTACGAGGCAGGTTACCACAAAACGTTGACTCGCGTATTTCCACTCTTGCGGTACAGCGACCCAATGGAGTAATAACGTGGCCTCCAGCAGTGCGAATACGCGTCCCATTCCAAGGTGTCATCACTTTCTTAAGACTGGTTGCCAATTTTCCGTTCATAATAGAATAATCTGCACCTGTGTCCACCAATGCGCTGACCTGAAGACCGTCTATCAGCACGGGAATGTCGAGTGAGACTCGGCCACTGGGTTCAGACGCACAATCCGGCATTTCTCTCGCACTGCACTCAGACGTCAATTCAATGTCTGCAGCGTTTTGTGGAAGCGTCGATAGGAGGTCTTCCGCACTTTTAGTCCCAGCGACCTCGCCCCCGAAGGTCGCTGCCTTCAGTTTTCCCGACGAGGGCTTGGGGAACGTCCCCGTGCCATCGTACTGAGACGTGGTCCAATAGCTGCGGGTCGTCGTGGAGATGGAGACCGCGATTGACGCCGTGGGAAAGGCAGACGTTGCTGCGCGAGGTAGTCCTCAATTTCTCTTGGCCTCTGACCAACTAGGGGACGAGGCGAATGAATAGAGAAACCGCGCAGTCCAAGTGTCGGTATGGACATTCCCGGTAGATGTGACCGGCTTCACCGCAATGGAAGCAGAGGGGTCTTCTATCCGACGTACGCCAAATATCGGACTTCCGCGGAGGGGCACGGCGACCGTCGATGTCCAAACCAGCATGCGCAGATTGAATTGAAACTGGCGGCATCGTCTGGATTGGGACTGCAGGGCTTGAGACCGGCATGGAAGTGCGCAGAGCTTCGGCATATGTGCGGTTCCCAACATCAGTGGACGCAGGAGGTGGTTCTAGATTTGTAACCGTTGGTTGAGGGCGACGGCTGTGAAGCACCTGCTGGACCTCGTCCCGAATAATATTGGTGATGCTGCTTACCTCCGGCTGTCTCGCCCCGTGTAGTTTCGCGATTTCCTCGCGGACGACGGAGCGGACGATTTCGCGAATCCACTCAATGCTGTTGCTCCCGAAGCTGGCGGAAAATTCAGTAGGTGATGCAGAATTCACTTGCCGGTTGAGTAGGGCTGACCGCTGATGAAGTACCCTCTCCATCGTAGTGGCTTCGGTCAGGAATTCTGCTACACTCTTCGGAGGACTCCGCACTAGACCAGCAAAAAGCTGCTCCTTCACGCCTCGCATCAGATAGCGTAGCTTTTTTTCTTCTGGCATTGCCGGATCCGCTCGCCTGAAAGCTGCGTCATGTCCTCCACGTACATGGTGACGGTCTCATTAGGCATCTGGATGCGTGAATGCAATGCACGTTCAGCACGATCGCGGCGGTCGGGGCTCCGGTAGGTCTCCAAGAGGCGATGCTGGAACTCGCGGCAGGATGTCAAGACATCACTTCTGTTCATGAACCACGTTCGGGCGCCGTCTTTCAAACACGCGTAGACGTTGCGGAGTTTGGCGGCTTCGTCCCAGTAGTTGATCGCTGCGACGTGTTCGAACTCGCTCAGCCAGTCGTCCACATCCTCAAACAGCTCTCCGTGAAAGGGACTAGGCATCAGCGGTTCTGGACAGTGCAATAAATTGGTGCCGACGACGTAGGAGTTTCCATGACGCCTTGAGGCGAAGTCATAGTCGCTCTATGGATAAGCTGTGCCGGTGTCTCTGGTGGTAGGCCTCGTTGGCAGCGGCTTGTTCTGTGAACTGGCGTGTCCACGGGCACAGGGCTTGTGTTCCGGCTCCTGGATGGGCTCTTGTGCATGGGGTGCGTCGTCAGTTGTCGTACCCAGCAGCTCCACCAATCTTGTCACCAATCTTGTCTCACTCAAGGAAACCTTCCGCAGAACTGCTCGTCAAGCTAGGACCAAAAGAAAAACTGCTCCAACCCAACCTCTTCGTCCTCTTCCACACGAAAACCACGCGAATTCATGCGGCAATATTGCACACCATGGCTAGTGCATCGAAGACGCCGTGGCCGCAGATCCTGTAGTGGAACGTGCGTTCCCTTCGCTGCCGTCACTCTGAGCTCATCTGCTCACTTCCCCAACGCGACCTCGACATTCTTGCATCCCAAGAGACGTGCGCTTGAGAGGGGGAGCTCAACCTCTCAGGCTACATCGCATACCACTGAGCTACAACCTGCGAGAGCAGCACGTGCCTCAGCATGCATTGCTCGGACTTTGGGCATCGTGCCGGACGTTCGAGAGCATCCATCTACGTTCGTGCACAGTTCCCACAGATGGCCATCGACGTCTCTGACATTCTCTGTGCTGGTGTCGAGTGCGTGGCCGTTAGATTACGTGTCGGTGCTGTAGACACCTGTGTTGCCAGCGTTTATGTGAACTGACCGCGAGAGTGGGATCCAGATGTCGTCGTGCGACTCGCTACGCGCCTCGGTGGCGACTCAGTTCTGTGCGGCGACTTTAATTTGCATCACACGGCCTGTGGTTGCGTGCGTGTCGACGCCAGTGGCAGATCTCTCATGGATTCGATCGTGACGGCCCGTTTCTGTTTCCTAAATGATGGTCGCCGCACCTTTGTGCGCCGTGGTGCCACTCGGAGGGCGCTCGATCTATCGCTGGTCTCGGAGGAGTGCCACTACACATGGCAACGCGTGCCGGACACCGAGAGCTCGGATCACTACCCAATCATCCCCGAGCCCCTCTACGCTGGTGCCCCGCGCTGCAATACTTACAGTGTAGTGAACTGGCCTCGTTTCCGCGAACTGTGTGCTACAGTGCCAGTCGCAGAAGACTTCCTACACCACATTGTTGAGTGTGCCAGTGCTGCCATGACAGTGTGTCGAGTGCCGTCCGGAACACCTGTGCCAGACATCAAGCTGCTCAATCTTCGTGCAGCTGACCGCTTGGCCCAGCGCCGAGCGGAACACTCGGATAAAGCAGACGACTGGACCGTTTACAACCACATCGATGCAGTTTGTCGTCACCACGCCCACCAACAATGGTATCGCGGCTGGTCCAGCCTTTGCCACACCTTTGACGATCCGCGCTGCCATCGGCGTGCCTGGCGCATTTTCTGGGTGCTCCTGCGACCACGAGTCCTCCGTCAGCCCGAGCTCTCCATCGCAGTGGTGCTCTCTATTTCCACCGCACAGCTGGCTAAGCTACTGGCAGATACCGTCGCAAGCCTCACTGTCAATGCTGCTGCTGCTCCCGCCCCTCAGCTCCCAGAGCACGCGAGACCAGAACTTTTCGCGCCTTTCTGGTATTTCTCTACGGCAGCCATCGTCGAGGCGACATCAGAGCTCTGCTCGGTGGATTTCACCATCACGAAGCTGCGTGCGGTGCTTGACAGCCGCAAGCGTCGATCAGTGCCCGGTAACGATGGCATCACCTATACGATGCTGCGCAACATCGACGGGAACCTCCTGTCGCAGCTTCTCGGTGCCTTCAACACGATCTGGCGCACTGAGGAACTCCCTCCTTCGTGGAAAGAGGCGCTGGTGATCCCGATCTATAAGAAGGGGAAGGCGACGTCGGAGCCTCCATCCTACCACCCCGTATCGCTCACATCGGCTGCGGGGAAAACTTTCGAGGACATGGCGCTCTGGCGCCTACAGTGGATAGCCACTGCGCTTGATTTCCTCGCGGCCGAACAGAGCGGCTTCAGAGCTCATCGGGCGACTGCGGATTCCATCTCCGACGTCATCAGCCTTCTGGAAGAGGCCAAGCATCAGGGAGAAGCTGGTTACCTCGTTTTGTTCGACGTGCGGATTGCCTTAGACTCTCTTCCGCACCCCACGTCATGGACGCCCTTCGTGAAATGTGTGTGTGCCACAAATGTGGAGATGCGTGGAAGCATTCCTCCGTGAACGCTCATTCGAGTGCGCGTCGCCGGCGAGCTCAGTGGGCCTCGAACTGTGACCGCTGGTGTGCCGCACAACAGTGTGTTGAGCCCTTTTCTTTTCAACATAGCCCTGGCAGCATCAACGACTACATCCCACTCGGCACAGCCTACGAGGTGCGTGTGGCCGACTATGCTGTCGACATCGCGCTCTTCACGAGTGTACCTACCTCCCGTGGTCGCCAAGTTCGTGAGAGCCTCCAGGCTGCTATAAATGCAGTGGCCAGCTTTATAAGTGGCGTGGGCCTCGAACTCTCCGCCACTAAGACCGAGGGCCTTCTCGCCCACCCGTGCAAAACGGCCCGCTACTACGTCCCGAAGCTGCGCCTTCGTGGCCACCAGCTGCCATGGAGGAAAAGAGTCCGATACCTCGGGCTCACAATGAACCACCGCCTCAGCTGGAAGCCCGCGATCGCCGATATTCGAGAGGGATCGCGCAGGAGTGCCGGAATGGCCTCTCGCCTCATCGCGGGCGGCACACGCTGCTCCCCAGACATCGCTTTGCGCCTGTACAATGCGGTGGCCTCACCAGAACCCTCTATGCAGTGCCTCTTCTCGGGCTCAAACCCACACAATGGGTCACGCTCGATGTTGATCATCGTGGCACCATGTGCGCCTCTTCGGCTTACCGCGATCCTCGTCAATCGGCCCCAACCTCGCGGAGGCCAATCAGACGCTTCTTTCACTCCGAGCGAAAGGCGCCGCCCTGCGACACCTGCATCGCATGCACCGGACGCCTGAGGGACGAAGATTTGCTGTCCGACTGCCGATCGCCCGCACTCAGGCATGGGCGAGCCAGTGCTCGAGTAGCGCGCACTCGTCCAGCAGCCACCCAACTGCGGCACGCTCCCCATGTTTCCGCACCATGATCCGAGCCTCGCAATCTCAACCACGATCCCCGGTATCCGGGCCAAGCGGAACACCCTCAGTGCGTCCTCCAACAAGAGACTGCAGCAGTCATCAAGCAGCGACTCTCTGGCCACCTCCTTATCTTCACCGATGGCTCGGTGATGGCAAACGGTGCAGCGGCTGCCGCATGCATGGTACCCGCGCTCGGCCTTAATTCACGGACAGGCGGCTGCCTGTCCACTGCATCATCCACCACGCCCGAACTCACTGCCATTGACCTGGCGGCAGATCAGCTCTCCGAATGCTACCACCCAGAGCGGCGGTGTTATGCGATTCGCGGTCCACCATACTGACACTCGCGCGAACTGAACGTGGCGTGCCCATTGCGCAGAGGATCGCGCGGAAGTTCGTGGTGATTGTGCGGAGTGTCTGTGACATGATTTTCAGTGGGCGCCTTCGCGCATGGACTACGTGGCAACGAGGCCGCGGACGCCCTGGCCAAGGAGGCCCACCACCGTCCACACTAATCACTACGTTCTCCGCGCGAGTGATGTAGCGCACTTTCGTATTGCGCGCCAAGTGCGCGCCTTCTTTTCGACTCACGTGTGGCCACGGCAAACGCCCCTCGACCGCTGCCGAGGCCCAGCATCGGCAGGCGTTGCTTGTTCCTTCCTTCTCCATCTACGCACTGACTGCAGCCGCACAGCGGAGCTGCAATTTCGCCGCACCACAGCGGAACCCGGAGTGTGCGGAATGCGGGCGGATGAGACCATCGAACGTGTTTTGCTGCCAGTGCCCGGCCTACGCAGACCAACGCCGGCGGATCTTCGATGCATATGCCGATTGGGACTTCCACACTTGAGTCTCGACCACTACGGTTTT